GCCAGCTGGGAAATAATTTAGTTAAATAAAAGTGTGTGTGTGTGTGTGTGTGTGTGTGTGTGTGTGTGTGTGTTTCAGGTGAGAAGTGTGACCCTGGATGTTTGAACGGGTCGTGTTGGGCAGCCGGACCAGACCACTGCCAGAAATGTAAACTTTGTTTGTTTTTCAGCAGAACTTTGTTTTTGCTTTGTTTGAGCATAAAGACAGATCCTAAAAGAAGGAACTGGTTTCAGTTACATGAACTTTAACTTGAACTGGTCTTTCTCTCTCTGTTAGTCACCAAGCTGCTGTGTGCCAAGCAGTGTGACAGCAGGTGTCATGGACCCAACCCTGGAGACTGCTGCGACAAACACTGTGCCGCCGGCTGCACCGGACCCCACGATACCGACTGCCTGGTGGGTGTCCCCGTCCTAAAGCTTTCACCAGACGCCCCAGGGTCTGGGAACTAGACTTCTTCTGCTCCTGACTCCATGAAGCTCACATTTAATTACCCCTTTCAGCTACTGCATTGCTACATTTAGCTTTGAGCTACTGTTTGATGGTTTTTGGCTTTTAGAGACTATTTTACTGCTCTTAGCTTTTAGCTAATGTTTTACTAGTTTTAGCCACTAGTTCTTTTACTTTTTGCTACTGTTTTGCTATTTTTGCTATTAACTACTGTTCTGCTGGTTTTAGCTTTTAGTTGTGATGGCTTAGACTATTTTACTGGTCTCAGCTTTTAGCTACTATTTARTAGTTTTAGCCACTAGTTGTTTTTGCTACTGTTTTACTAATTGTAGCTGATGCTTTTAGCTGATGTTTTGTAAGTTTTAGCTTTTAGTTTTGATGACTTTTAGCTTTTAAAAACGATTTTACTGGTCTCAGCGTTTAGCTTATTTACTAGTTTTAGCCACCACTAGTTGTTTTAGTTTTTCCTACTGTTTTACTAATTGTAGCTGATGCCTTTAGCTGTTGTTTTTTAAGTTTTAGCTTTTAGTTGTGATGCTATTAGCTTTTAGAGACTGTTTTACTGGTCTCAGCTTTTAGCTACTATTTATTAGTTTTAGCCACTAGTTGTTTTTGCTACTGTTTTACTAATTGTAGCTTGTGCTTTTAGCTGATGTTTTGTAAGTTTTAGCTTTTAGTTTTGATGACTTTTAGCTTTTAAAAACTATTTTACTGGTCTCAGCGTTTAGCTTATTTACTAGTTTTAGCCACCACTAGTTGTTTTAGTTTTTACTACTGTTTTGCTAATTGTGGCTGATGTTATTCTTAGCTTTTAGCTACTGTTTTGCTATTTTTGCTATTAACTACTGTTCTGCTGGTTTTATCTTTTAGTTGTGATGCTATTAGCTTTTAGAGGCTGTTTTACTGGTCTCAGCTTTTAGCTACTATTAACTAGTTTTAGCCACTACTTGTTTTGGCTACTGTTTTACTAATTGTAGCTGATGCTTTTAGCTGCTGTTTTGTAAGTTTTAGCTTTTAGTTGTGATGCTATTAGCTTTTAGAGACTATTTTACTGGTCTCAGCTTTTAGCTACTATTTACTAGTTTTAGCCACTAGTTGTTTTTGTAGCTGATGCTTTTAGCTACTGTTAGGTTTGTTTCAGTGTCTTGCTGCCTCTGMTCATGACTCCATAAAGCTGTCTTGTTTGTGAAAGCTCAGGTCTGAGCGGGTCGTGGTCGGCTCTGTGAGGTTGTTGTTATAAAAGAGGGAAGCGTCTGTCTGAAGTGTGGTTAGAGTAGTTACGAACAGGCAGCAGTTGATCAGAAAACAAAGCCCAGCGGTAACTCCCCTCTGTCTCCTCTGCAGGCCTGCAGGGGTTTTAACGATGATGGAACCTGTAAAGAGGCCTGTCCTCCCAAAATTATCTACGACAAAAACACCCAGATGATCATCAACAACCCCAACGCCAAGTACACCTATGGAGCCATGTGTGTGAAGGCCTGCCCCAGTAAGAATCACAGCTTTGTTTGCTGSCTGCTGGTGCCCCCTGCAGGCCACAGTGTGTATTACATGTGAAACCTCCAGCAGATGAAGAAGTTTGACGACAGATTAAAACATATCTGATRCTGTTGTGTTTGTTCTCTTGTAGCCTGAACGTTTCTCTTGCTGTTTGTAGATAATTACGTGGTGACAGAGGGCTCCTGCGTTCGCTCCTGCAACCCCGGATCGTACGAGGTGCCGGAGAACGGAGTCCAGGTCTGCAAACCGTGTGAAGGACCCTGTCCCAAAGGTAGAGACCCACTCAGAGACCACCACAACAAACCTAAATCCCAAACTAAAGGCCTGAGCGGGTCTCGTTCTCCCCGCAGTCTGTGACGGGATCGGGATCAATTCTCTGACCAACAGCATAGCTGTCAACGCCTCCAACATCGAGTCCTTCAGGAACTGCACCAAGATCAACGGGAACGTCATCTTCATCCAGCCCTCCTTCGATGGGTGAGTCCTGGTTCTGAACTGAGCTGCGGCACCTCAGGACCTGAACTGGTACCAGATGAWGGGTTCAGTCTAACAAAACCAACATTTAGGATTTCTGAAGACCGGCTGACAGACAGAGGCTCAGAACCTGTCTGAACCTGGATGTTCTGATCCTCAGTTTGCCAATAGAACTAAAGGTTTTTACTGTGGTGAAGTAAGGCTTGTTCTGATTGGTTGTTTTAGGGACCCACACTTTCACATCCCACCCATGGACCCTGAGAAACTGGAGAACTTCAGGGCCGTGAAGGAAATCACAGGTAGGTCTCTGCAGACTGTTCTTAAATGTAYGTTTTTAGTTTTGAACATTGAATCAGGTTTGGTGTCTTCGTCCTGCAGGGTACCTGATGATCGGCGCCTGGGCCCAGAACCTYACGTCTCTGTCAGTGTTTGAAAACCTGGAAAAGATCCGAGGAAGATCAGTAGCTTCAGGGTGAGTCTGGATCATCGGTCTTTCTTTGGGGAATGGATCAGGTTTAACTGAGCTTCAGGGTTTTTATGAAGTCATGAAGAACATTTTAGATTTACCAGCACAARATTTCATCTTTGTAGAAACTGGTTTAGAGTTCTGGCGCCTTCTAGAGGTCATCTGTTCTGTCCAGCAGAGTAAGGGTTAATCATGGATCATATGAAGAGAACATGAAAACATAAAAATCTCAACTTAATCCTTGATCTTACTTTCTTATAACGGGCCTCAGTTWAGATCTGTAAGCCAGTTATTCTGCATCAAACCCCGCCCACACAAACTAAACCCCGCCCCCCAGTCAAACTCCACTTCCTGTTTTCCTCRCAGTCAGTACAGTCTGGTGATAGTGAAGGTGAAACACCTGCAGTGGCTCGGCCTGCGCTCCCTGACGGAGGTGAGCGCGGGGAACGTCCTGCTGAAGGAGAACGTGAACCTGTGCTACGCCGAGACCGTGAAGTGGCCCCGCCTCTTCAGAGACAAAGGCCAGACCAACAAATCTATCAACAGCTCCTGCAGTGAGTCCTGAACATCCGCTTCCCTCTGAAGCTGAGCCGAACAATGAGCAGAGAATAAAAACTGTGATTTTCTGCTCCACAGAGAGGCAGGATCTGATCTGTGACCCCGAGTGTTCAGAGGATGGCTGCTGGGGTCCGGGGCCCACCATGTGTGTGTCCTGTCGACACTTTGACCGCAGGGGGCGCTGTGTGGAGCGATGTCACCTGCTGCGGGGGTGAGCCAGTTGTTTCCTGTTTACACTTTCAGCTGTTTCAGTACCGAAACAGCTGATTCAGGAGATGGACGCTTTGATATTTTAATGTTCATAATTTTTGTACTTTTTAAAATATTTGACTTTATARGTCATTTATGGTTCCATTAAAATTAACAGTTTTTTACAGGCTTATTTTAGCTTTCAACTGATGTGTTTTCTGGTTTTAGATACARAAATGCTAATTTTAGCTTTCACCTACAGATTGACTGCAGTAGATCAGTTCTCAATCATGGTCTCATAATCCTGAGGTTGCAGGTTCAATTCCAGGTTGAAGTGGTCATTGTGGTTAACTCTGCAGAAGGAAGWATTAGAAGAAAACTAAGAAGACGTAGCCTTTAGCTATTGTTTTGCTAATTTTGGCCTGTTTWTTTGTTGTTTTAATTTTGATGCTTTAGTTTTAGTTTCTTTAACACATTTTATATTAAAATATCATTGAAGCAACACAAAAATTCATTATTATATTTAAAAGTCTTAATTCATAAAGGTTGGGTTTGTTTAACTCTGTTCTTTTTGTTAGTATGCTACATGCTGCTGTAGTTGCAGAAATCATGCAGAAATCACTTGGTTGCCAGCGATGAGGGAGTTTGTTGAGTGATGGTTCTCAGACAGTCGACAATAACAGAACAAGAAGAGAACGAGAACAAGAGAACCCTGTGAAACGGGTACCCTGGACTAAATACTCTTCAAGTGCGTCGTTATGGCCAAACCTTAGCCAGGATTTGTGAGAGCATCTCTAATACACACACATTGGAGACTTTCAACAACTCTTTTCCTGGAAAGCACCTACATCACTTTTCCCGACAATCTMTACGGACTCGGCTTCCTCTCTCGTAAAAAAGCACTTGTAATACACGCTAATGACAGCAAACTCTTGAACTCTGTGTTTTTACCACTGTCCAGCCAARGTTTTGTACTTTCATAATCTTCTGGGACCAAATCAGAAGTTGATTTTCACAGAAAGAATCTGGCAGAACTTCCTGAACTAAAGAACACAATAAACTGGCCACTTCCATCCTCCCTGTTTGAGATTATTCTCAAATTAATGCTAACTCTCTTTTATTTTTAAAGTGATGCATGCATAACAATWGTGGTTTTAAGTGAGGCTAACATGAGACTTATACTATGTGAGATAATATACCAATAAAACAGCATAACTCTAAAATATTGCACCTAAACTATAAACTGTAATAAAAACTCAAAGGTTTGTAGGACTGACTTAGTTTGCTTATGCAGGCATTTGCTGACACTCCTTGTGGAGCCAAAAACCCAGGGCTGTCCTGCGTGATTTCTGCAACTAAACTACATGCTACATGTGTGTATGTTAGCTAACAGGTTGTGCCTCACAGTAAACCAACTCCTGCTGTCTGCTTTTCTTCCTTCAGTGAGCCCAGAGAGGTGGAGGTCGACGGTCGTTGTGTCGAGTGTCACTCGGAGTGTTTGACAGAGACCGGTATCCCGACCTGCCACGGTCCGGTGAGTCCATTTTCAAAATGTTCAGCTTTTTTATGTAAAATGATAGCATCTCTTAAAATACAGTTGTAACTATGAGTTAATTCTTACTTTAAATAAAGCATTTTTAGTAATAAAATGCATTAATAATGGATTTAAATAGAGTGACTTTGTTTTTTCTGTTTTGTTGTATTTTTGTTTTGTTTTGTTACAAGAACTGTGTTAAAATTAACTCAGTTTTGTCTAATTAATCCCTCCCGTGTCCAGGGTCCAGGTAACTGTTCCAGGTGTACCCACTTCAAAGATGGCCCCCGGTGCGTGTCTCTTTGTCCTCACGGTGTCCCGGAGGACGAAAACACGCTGATCTGGAAATACGCAGACGAGTCGGGCCAGTGCCAGCTGTGCCATCAGAACTGCTCCGACGGGTGAGCTACGAGTCCTGTCCTCGTCCGAAGAAGCAAACAGGAAGTTGATTCTGTTGGTTTCTGTCCCCTGCAGGTGTTCTGGTCCTGGACTGTCTGAATGTTGGGGGTAAAACCAGTTAAAGACTTAAACAATGAATGAAGTTATTTTATGGTTCGTTTCAGGAAACCTTCTTGTTCTCTCTGACAGACAAACGACACACTCCTTGTTGGCGGTGGGCGTGGTCAGCGGACTCCTGGTCGCCGTCATTGTGTTGTTGCTCATCCTTCTGTTTCTACGGCGACAGCAAATCAAGAGGAAGAGGATTATACGCCGCAAGATGCAGGAYACGGAGGTGGGTCTTTGGTTCTGGACCTAAAGTTGTTAAAAGGAGGAGAAACAGTTAAAAACAGAAATAAATCAGAACCTTTTGTCCGATTGGAGCACAGCTGGAACCCATGACCCCGAGCGGTCAGGCTCCAAACCAAGCACACCTGTGGATCCTGAAGGAGATGGAGCTGAAGAAGGACAGGGTCCTCGGTTCCGGTGCCTTTGGGACTGTCTATAAAGTACCCACATTTATTTTACTTTAATTAAACTGAAGTCTGTTGTGGCTGCAGGGATMGAAAATGAAACACCGTCTGTGTTCTTTAGGGTTTTTGGTACCCTGAAGGAGAGAACGTGAGGATCGCCGTCGCCATCAAAGTCCTCAGAGAGGCCACGTCGCCCAAAGCCAACCAGGAAGTCCTGGACGTGAGTTTCTTCTCTGCTTCCTGTCTGATTGAAAGTCRCTGTCAGTCCATGAGTGTGTCCCTGAGCCGGGTCTTTGTGGTGCTGCAGGAGGCCTACGTGATGGCGAGCGTGAACCATCCTCACGTGTGTCGCCTGCTGGGGATCTGCCTGACCTCGTCCGTGCAGCTGGTCACTCAGCTGATGCCGTACGGCTGTTTGCTGGACTACGTCCAACACCACAAGGATCGGATCTGTGCTCAGTGGCTCCTCAACTGGTGCGTTCAGATCGCCAAGGTGAGCGGGAAAACRCTCCTCGTCCTGCCCCTGGAGGCGCCTGCAGCTCGTTAATCCTGCGGAGGCTGATTAGCAGCTAAATGTTCTGCTTAATGAAGTCTCAGCTGAATGTTGAGATGCTGAGAAAATAAAAATAAGGTCAGGATCTGTGTGAAATCCACAGTCTGCAGTGATGGGAAGAGAAAGTCCTTCAGGTTTTAGAGCTTTAATGGCAATAATCTGGCCTTTAGCAAATTCTGGAACTATTTTAACCTGAAGTGAACAAAAACAGGTTTCACAGAGTCGTTATTTATTAAACCAAAAGTTTGAGCCGGTTTTTCAGCCTCAGGACCATAAACGCCTCTGTTGACCCAAAGATTCTGGAATCAGATTTAGACTAAAACCTGTTTACCTGCAGGGGATGAACTACCTGGAGGAGCATCACCTGGTCCACAGAGACCTGGCGGCGAGGAACGTCCTGCTGAAAAATCCGAACCACGTCAAAATCGCCGACTTCGGTCTCGCCAAACTTCTGACGGCCGACGAGAAGGAATATCACTCTGAAGGAGGGAAGGTACGCTCTGCAGGGGGTTTTATCAGGAAACACCTGATTTTATTCACCTGGAGTCATTTAGGTTCTCCTGAATGATCCGCAGCCGACTTGGAAAAGACTTGTTTTGAAGTTTGGACTCTGCTGCTCTGCAGGTTCCCATCAAGTGGATGGCTCTGGAGTCCATCCTTCGGTTCACCTTCACCCATCAGAGCGACGTCTGGAGCTACGGTGAGAAACCAGTTTCCTGTTTCTGGTCYAACTTTGAGTTGTTCTGTCTGGTCGGACTCGTGGTTCCCCTCCTAACTGTCGGCGGTCTTCAGGCGTGACGGTCTGGGAGCTGATGACGTTCGGCTCCAAACCGTACGACGGCATCCCGGCCATCGAGATCGCCTCCAGGCTGGAGAACGGGGAGCGTCTGCCTCAGCCCCTCAACTGCACCATCGAAGTCTACATGATCATGGTCAAATGTAAAAAACACAGCGAAACCTTTAGAAACATGTTAAAGTCTGAATGTTGGTGTGTGAGGAAAGTTTGACTGTTTCTTCTTGTTTCTCTGCAGGTTGGATGATCAAACCGTCCAGTCGGCCTCGCTTCAGGGAGCTGGTGGCAGAGTTCTCTCAGATGGCCCGCGACCCGTCCAGATACCTGGTCACACAGGTAAATACAAGAAAAACTCTCCTTTACTGTCGTTTTTTTTTCCAACTTATACCAGTGAAACCTGTTGTTGAAATGTTTATCACATTAATTCATCAACATTTACAAGAAAGCAGAAACCTAAAAATACAAATCTAGAAAAACATTATTTTCTTGAAACAACAATTAAATGATGTACTGAAGTGAGCTGGCTGTAGCAGCTGCTGCTGCAACTGAATTTTACTATTTGGAAACCTGTTAGGTCTGATGAAACATGTGTCAGGTTTGTATTTATAAACAAATGCTGAATTCTGTTTGTTTGTTTGTTTGTTTTGTTTAACTGGACTAAAACCTCAGAGAATCAGTGACAAAAAAACAGCCTCGTTTGTTCGTTCAGTCGTTGGTTCGATCAGTTATTCATTTGCTTGTTTAATAT